CCTGTCCTGCCGCTGCAGAGCCAGGCTCGGTGCGTCTGAATAAAGTAACTTGTTTTGCACTGTGAGAGCATGCCATTGTGGTAAGTTTAAAAACAATATCATACATAAAGCAAAGCATCTGGGCAAGTGTTTTTTATCACTGTATGTGGTAGGTAGTGAAGAAAAATTAGGCAGCGTTTCCTATCACATACCGAAGAGGATCGGGATCTTTATTTAAGCTCTTGTGCGGAAGCTTTCCTGAATGAGCAGAGTGCCCTTCAAACTGAACACATTTGTCATCTCTTAGCCCATACCGCTGCCTTCCGCAGCCACTCTGTGCCAACAGCTGCACTTAACTGCTGAACTGAAAAGCAAGGTTTCGCTCACTCCACTCTGATCATTCACCTTCAGCAAGCCTTGCAACCAGGGGCTCCTAGAGCTGCATGGCATTCCAGGGCTGGGCTTCAGCTCACTGCAGTTCTTCACTCCACCACCACTCAGCCAGTTTAACGCAGCTACTCTGGTAATTACAAGCCAAGCAGAAATGGCGGATTTTGTTTCCTTGCTCTGAATTTAGAATTGGATTTCTCCACATACAATAGCACTAACCCACCTGTACTGTTGAACAAACACACATTACCACACTGTTGCTTATACGAAGTGTGGCTCAGAGGGTAACGCCATATAAATATTCTGGGAGGTCACTGTGCTTTCCCCACTGTACAAAAGTTCATGTAGCTATACAACAGAGTTATGCATACAACTTGTCCTACACCACTGATACTTTTTAAAGCAGGACTTTAAAACATGTATTTACACTTAGATATTCAAAGTTTTCTTCACTGCAAATATTATATCCTTCACTTGAGGTAGGCAGTTATCTTCTAAAATTTTTGCATAAGGCATAGGAACATCTGCACCGGTAACACGCACAGCTGGAGCATCCAAGTAGTTAAAGGCAGATCCTGAAACAGAAGACAGCTGTCAGGTTGCCATGCACTACGGTCTTCTCTCAATTCAATTTCTGAATCTTAATCTACTTAAACAATTTTGTTCCTGTAGCCCTGATATTCCAGAGAGAGCTGTTCCTGCTTGTTTATCTTCATGTACTATGGTTTAGACAAAACATTTCCATCCTGCTTCTCGGGCAGTTAGGTTCCTGGGATAAGAATTACTCGCAACAGAATACGAGATGGATCCACCCTGTGAAAATCTCTAGAGCAAGACTGCTACGCTCAGGCTCCTCAGATGTAAAACCCTTTGCTGGCTTTATCAAAGAACATCTGCTGGCTTAATGTGGCTCTATCAAGAAATGGTCAGGATTTAGACTAGGGAACGAGATCAAGGTGTGTATCACAAAACTCGGTACCTTCCATGATCCTGGCACAGATTTCAGCTCCTACTCCAAATTGTGGCCAACCTCCTTCTACAGTTACAAGATGGTTTGTCTTTGCAACGCTGGCTTCCACTGTTTCAATATCCATTGGTCGAATGGTACGCAGATTTATAACCTGGGGGTGGGGGGGAAAAGGGGCTTTGTGAGTTTTGTCCTTTAGCACTTTCATCTACTCTGACGTTCAAGACAACACTTAATAAAATTTCTAACTTTTTATTCTGGCAGAGACTGTGCAGAACAGTTTCTGGTGGCTCCTGGAAAATCCCAGACAGTTGATGAGTCTTGCTGTATCGAGACACGACCGCACTAATACATGCTGTCATTGTTCTGCTTACTGTGCAGCTAGGTCAACCTGAAAATCATTAGCAGTTCTGCCTTGATTTTGTGATGAAACGGTCAAATGCAGAAACATGAAATGCATGTCCTTGGCTCACTGACTATTAAGGCATTTACAAAGATAAGAAGCTTGCAGTTATTACACCAAAGTTTTGCAGAGCCTGAACAAGAAGACCCTCTGCTTTTTTTCCCCACTCCAAGGAAAGAGAAAACCAACAGAAACTCCACACACCTCACATTCCACGCCTTCTTTGGCAAGTACAGTGGCTGCTTCCAAACAGTGTCCGACAGGTCTTGAGTGTGACACTAACGTTACATGAGTTCCTAGAACAGAAACAAGTGTTAAAAAAGAAAAAATAAAAAGAACACCTTAAGATGTAAACCTTTTCTCTGGACCTCAGGTTCCTTTCAAGGTAATGTTCGGATTCTCTTGTAAATTTAAGTTCCTTACATTTATCTGAAATGCTGAGCATTCCATGCCCATACATAGCATGAAAAGCTGTAGCAGAAGGACTATGTGAAGACACAGCTTCACTGTTTAATTCAGGGAACTGAGGAGATATTAAATACAGTTTTCAGATTATCCTTTTCAAACATGCATTTAATTCAGCGGTAAATTCTGAACAAATGGGCTGAAACATTACAGCGATCTCTTCTGTGTTTTTGACAAAAATTACGTAGTAAGGTGAGGAAAAGTTTTTCACCCATTATATATTCCATCTCTGTACTAAGGAGTAAATCTTTTAGAAAGGTATAGTTTTAGATGAGATACAAAGAATCAAGTGATTTTTCCTTATTATATGGGCCACAGAACCATTAAGTTTACTACAGGATAAAATAACATTGGAACACTTCAGATTTGAAATATTTTTCTGTGCCCCATGACAGCAGTATTCTGAATAGCAAAAAGGCTAAATACAACCCCACGTCTCCAAGCAGTTCAGTTAATAAGGAAACAAATTCTGTTCTCAGCTTACCTTGCCTTTCTATTTTAGCTTTTCCAATTGGAACAACAAAATCCTTTGACTGTGCCTGTTCAGACATTTCAAAGGGCACACCATACAGTAATTCATTTTCCAGCATCACAACTAGAAGAAAACACACTTGGATTAACATGTACATCTGCAGGCAGAGGACGGTACTGATGATTAATGGTACTGCAGCAGAGCAGCTCAAGATACTAAGCCCATCCAGGCAACAAGGGCTCGAGTATGTCTGCAGAAGCAGGTAAGGGGGAAAAAAAATAAAAATCAGTCTTTACTTCAATGCTGAATTATTTAAAAAATTGCCTACCATCAGTCTTAAATGAGATCAGCTATTTAACTTTTGGTACATGATGGCAGAATCACTAGTTTTAGAAAGGTCTTAGATTTCTGCATGCGTGTTTGTGAGGAATAAAGACAAAGGTTGCCCTGCTTTTAATTAATGACACTCTGAATTTATAATGTGAATTTCATGATCTGTAAAAATGAGTTACACAGACATTGTATGTTCAGGAACTTCTCCTGAGTTATCTTCACCCTTTTTAACCCCTTCACAACTGATTTATAAATGCTGCTTCTAAGTTTCCTGATTGGTACCAAACTGGCATTAAAGATATATAGCTGGCAACAGCACAAAATTAAGAGTCTACTGCTAGCAAGCCAAGTGCCCCTTAGGAAAAAGTTAAGTACTTGAATCAATACTTCCTAGCCTTTCTAAGTATCCTAAAGCTGCAGTAAAACAACCTTCAGTGTTCTAGGGTTTAAAAATCTTTTTTGTTTGTTTTAGATGGGGTAGGAGGGGAAAACAGACATTCTATTCAGGACTGAGTGCCAGGTATTGCCATGATCTGTCTGTGTTCACCTGGATTGTCATCCCGGATCGACGCTTTCAGCAGCCCTTTGGCATCTTCTGAGCTCCAAGGACTAACAACTTTCAGTCCCGGGCAGTGCCCGTACCAAGCTGCAAAGCACTGCGAGTGCTGAGCGGCGACGCCAGCTGACGCCCCGTTGGGGCCCCGGAAGACGATGGGGACAGAGATCGATCCCGCAGACATGTAACAGGTCTTGGCAGCAGAGTTTATGACCTGATCGATTGCTTGCATGGAGAAGTTGAACGTCATGAATTCACACACCGGTCTCAACCCCGCCTGTTAAATATATTGCGATATGTATTAGTATGTTTTTACATAAAATGTTTATTTTAAATTTTGAAATCAGAAGTAGAGGGATGTGAATTTACAAACCATGGCAGCACCGACGGCGATGCCTGTGAAGCCCATCTGGAAGGGAAGGAAACCAAGGGTAAGAGCTGGGGAGCGGCCGACGAAGGCATCGCCAGGCAGCAGGCGGGGGCAGCCGTACCTCGGATATCGGCGTGTCGATCACCCGCTTGTCCCCGTACTTCTTCCAGAGACCCCTAGAGATCTGCGCAGCAGGAAAGAGGAGTCAGGCCCCGGCCCGAGGCCCCTTCCCGGCCCGGTAACGGCACCCACGCACCTTGTAGGCGCCGTCGTACTGGGCCACCTCCTCGCCCAGCAGGAAGACGCGCTCATCCCGCTCCAGCTCCTCGTCCAGTGCCTGGTTCAGCGCGTCCCGCACCGTCACCTGCGAGACACCGGCAGCCGGGCAGGGCGGGGGCACGGCCAGCGCCCGGGGAGG